AACGCTGCCAGGTAGCTGGGCAAAGTCGTCCTTGACTGGAGTTGGAAACGGGCTGGGTAGCTGCAGCTCCACGTGTAGCGCCTGCAGGGCTCCGGCAAAGTCATCCAATTTGGCTGCACGCTCTGATTCCTGCGATAGCCAACTGACAAGGTGAAAGTCCAGATAGGCGCACATATAGCCCAAATCCATCAATTTGTGGTTCTGGAGAAGCTGACGAGCATGGCGCTGTAGAATCAGATCGATGCAAAAGGTCTCCCGCTGCTTAGTAGACCGACGACGCACCACTGTGGGTGCTCCCGAACTGGTCGTTTCCATCACAGGCGCAACTCCCGCAGTACCAGCCAACTGCTTGTCTTTGGGCAGATTGCTAGTCACCGTAGTGGAGAAGCTTCGTTCTCTGGCAATGGGACCCAAAACCATGTTGAAGGCATCCGCGTTCTGATTCACCTGTTGCTGTGTGTTTACCTGGGGTGGCGGAGCGATCTTTACATTGACCACCATCGAGGAGCGCGGCGAGTCGATCTCATTGGGGTCAATGGCTTTCAAAAAGCGAATCAGATCCTTGGCCAGTTCCCACTTTCGCTGCTGCAGCGCAATATCAAGTAGCATGGTGGCATATTGCTTGCTTACCACTGAGGGTTCCAAATTCTGCAGAATAATTAGGTAGCTGGCAGCCGTGTCTAGCTGTTCCGACTGAAGACACATCTGGAAAAGATCCTTGGGTTTGCCGGCCATGGAAAAAAGGTAGGGCCAGAGGGCGATCTCGGTTTTTCGGGCACACTGCACAATCGTCTCCAAGTATACGGGAAACTCCCTTATAAAGTCCAGGATGCTGGGCAACTGCGCATCCGGAATGGGCTGTTTGCTCGTGGCCTCTTCCTCAAGAACCTCGTGCAGGAGTAGTTCCAGAGCGTGCGGAAAATAGGGAAGCGAGCGACATGACTGCGCGATCTCCCAGGCGGAGTATCCGAGATTCCGCTTTATCAGCTGGCGCAGCACCATATGCAGATATATTTGTGATTTGCGCTCCATCACGGCGAACGGAAGTGAGAAATGGGAGCCCTGCTCATTGGCGTAAAGCGTGCTTTCGTTCTCCACCCCCAAGACGATGACGTTGTCAAACAGCACGACTAGCGGGTAGAGCTTTAGCGGGAAGCCCAGCATGATCCGCTTGGACATAAAACTATGCAGTCGCTGGGCACTGCCCTGCTCACCCTCGCGCCGCTCCCTTCCCGGCGGCAGGATGGGAAGCCACACCCGCATCCCGTGGGCCCCCGAGTAAAGCCAGAGGCAGTCGCGCATCGCACAGCGCTCCAGGGAGTGCGAAAGCCAGAAGACCTCAACGCAGCTGGCCAGGCACGTGGCCAGCAAGGTGTTGGGTACCTGTTTGGAAAAGATTTGACATTAGCTTTTTATGTACATATTAAATTTATATGATATGTAGAAATATGAAAAGTAACTGAGACCGTCATATTGCCTCAACAAAGTTTTATCTGGTTCTCTAGGTGCAGATCGAAAATCGGAAAACTAAGATATTTACCCAAAATCTACATGACATTCCAATTAAATCGATAATAATTTAATGAGTTTGAAGAGATCAGTGTGTATCGCGAGAATATAATGTGCAGATAACCACACGGTCAGTATAATAGATATATTAGATATATAAACTTACACTTTTCATTGGCAGCTTAGGATATATCTATTTTGATTAAATGATTAGCCAACCCAACAAATTAACCAATTAGTAAGTTTTACGTTAAACGCTATTAGGCCGAGTGAATCAAAAGTTCGCAAATTTCTTTAAATAAAACGAAATGACCTTGATCTACGTACGCATTAAACACGACGATTGGGAAACTCTGCTACTTTCCAAAATAATGCAGATATGCTTAGAAAAGCCTATATTTCTATATATACCTGTTCGCCGGCGTCGCGCTGGATCATCAGGATGCGGCCGCACACATTTACTATGATAGTTTCTGCCTGCTCCCCACCCTGCTGCTGACCTTGCGGCTTTAGTTCATTCTTGAGGTTCGTGACCGTCAGACTCACAATGCAGGCGGGGTGAATGCAGATGCTCTTCACATCGAGCTCGTAGGCGCACTCAACATCCAGGGCGTATGCCGATTTCTTAGACATGTTAAACAGGCTTACGATCCCATCGGCAGTGAGTACAATCAACTGGTTTCGGAATGAGTTCAGGCTTATTACAGGCGCTCGTACCTGCAGCTTGTGGCCGAATTGGTTGTCTAGTTTGCAATCCGCCGGATAGCAGCGAAGCTCATCGGTGCGGTCCAGTAATGAATAGCAGCCCATGACCACAAAGCCATGCCACCAGAGCAGACCGCCGGAGACAACGAAATCCTTCTCCTGCGACTCGTTGCCGAATAGCTTCCACCGTCGGGTCACCAACGAGTAGTGGGCCAGTCCAGTGCGTCCAGCCACTGCCAAATGGAGTCCGTCCGGATCGATTGCAGCATATCGGATTGGCCAGTTGGTGGCCGCGTAGTTTAGTGGCAACTGCAAGACGGTCCAATACTTGCTCTCCGTGAGAATGCTGCCCATGTGCGGTCTTTGTTTTAGCTCCAGGCAATCGCCATCTCCAGACACCGCATCATCCGAGCCCACGCCGCTTGAGGGGAACGTGGCTTGACTCCCGGCGTACGACAGCTCTAGATTGTTTCCCTGGTTAAGGTACAGGCAGTCGTCTCCCTGCAGCAGGATGTGCGGATTGGTGGTCATGCAGGGATTCATGCTAAGCGCGCTCTTCACAAACTGCAGCTGCAGAACATTGCTCTTGTCTTTTTCCGGCTTTTCCGGCGGCTGCTGCGTCAGCATGAAAAGTTGGTAGCCCTCGGTAGACCACTCAAGGCGGCGTAGTTTGAGTGGATTTTGCCGAACTAGATCTACGTTGAGACCAAAGTCCCAGCTCAAAGTAGACATTAATAATGCTCCGAAGGTACTCCATAGGGACAAGCCACCATTCGTCCAACTTACGGCCAGGACGCAACCATCAGGGCTCCATTTCAGCTCGTTCACCGCCCCAAGACTGCCTGGCAGCACATTCTCCGTGAGCATCAGACGGTGCGAAAACTCTAGTCCTCCGGTAGCATCATCAATCGCATACACATTCACCGCCGAACTCTCCTGCCCGTAGGCCAAAAGACGGAACTTGTGGTTGACACTGCACACGCTCGCATCCTCCACGTCCGGAACCCAGAATCCGTGCATGTGGTCCGTCTCAAATCTCAGATGGTTGGCAATCAGGAAGGCAGCACGTCGATCGCTGAAGACGGCTGCACAGCCGCCGATGAACGGCGAATACTCCAGCGAGGCTACGTAGGAGTCCCTGCTCAAGGGCGGCACATTCCGGGCCGACGCCTGCTGTGGCTGCTGCTGAACGTAGAAGGGAATGTCGCGCAGCTTGATGGCAGCCAGGGCTGGCAGCTCCAGTTCGTTCTCTGCGTGCTCCAATTGAGTCCACTGCAGACGCAGAAGCTCACAGGACTGAGTGGCCAGCAGGAGTTCGCTGAGACTGATACAGCACACAGTGGTGATGACGGAGCCCAGAGTAACACTGCACAGTTCGCGCAGGCTCAGTCGTGGGATGTTCTCCTTGATAAACAGCTCGGCTGAGTCCCGCTTGAGGCTGGCGGCAGGCGGATCCACCTGCAGCAGGATCCCACTGCCGTTGGCGTCGAAGTCTAGTTGGTACAGCAAAAGGGCGCCGGAGGCGGTGAGCAGGGCCAGTTGCCGGGAGTCCGGCTTCCACACGATCAGCTGGTTGGAGCCGTACTGTCGCAAGGAGTCCTCCGTACGCCGGAAGTAGGCGATGGGAATGAGCGGATTCGCATACCAGATGCCCAGAAACTCATCGCCCACGGCGGCCACGAGTATTTTGACCGCGTCGCAGCAAATGTGCCGGATGCTGGCGTTCTCGCCGGGTAGCGCCAGTCCCACCCGCTTAGGCCATCCCACGGGAAAATACATCCTCCTAGTGAAAAGTTACTGCGCAAACGAAAACTGCATTAGCAAGGGCAGGAATGCGCAAAATATGTTTTAACCTGCTGGCGGGTACGGGTGCATTTACATTTTGTGGGTTGCGCCCAGTTTTACATGATATCCCTCGCCCAATCAACACTTTAACAAGACATTCCACAGCACAACAAAAATTCTGCGCGATTTACGCGTACACAAATGGGAGTGTTGGCAAGCGTCCCGAAATCACAGCTGTTTGCTAATCGGCGTTTCGCACCACTGATTTTGTTTTAGGGACAGTGCTGACAGCTTAGCTATTTCCTGTAATAAGGCTCGTCCAGACCGGGCTCATCTGCCTCCACAACATCCATTATAACTAATTGTGCTTTAAATGAACGGAATAAGTACCATCCATAGCACTTGAGGTTCACTTTTATGAAGCGCAAACTTCATTTCTTTACAAATAATTGGGCCGAGATTTTTTACTAGACCAATTTCCTAAAAAATACCGTTATTTTTGTGGTTTTTGCCAATTTTTCCCAAAGTATAACCTTAATTATTATTAATTAATTTTCTCCTCCAGCGCCACTAAAAATATTGAATACCCTACTCCAAATGCACCGACCTTGCAATCTTTACGCTCAGTTTTTCTTTATTCTGGTTTTTCAAAAAGCACAACTCAGAAATCTGGTCACCATTAAATAATTTTTTTTGCCAGACAAATATGTTTTTCAACCTAAGTAATACTTTTTAAATAAAGAACCATAGAGCCAAAAAGGAATATTTAATTTGTTTTACAACTGCAAGACAAAACCATTTTTAAGCTAGGATTAACTTTGATTTAAAATAGACATAATTGATTCGTCGAAATTCAATATTTGAGTAGGCAACATATTTTAATACTCGTCAGTGAGTGGCAGATTTCTCACAGGCAAAGCACAGGCAAAATTATTAATTAAATTATTTTAAATATTAATCGTTAACATCTTGGTAAGTTGGCAGCACCTGACAGTTCCCGATTATTTGTTCATTAACTGGTTCAGTCGCGTACGACAGTCAAATTCGGCGAATTAAAAACTACATACATACATCAGCCGGCTTTTGAGCAGTATAATACAGATAATTAAAGACATATTCCCAAAATGACTGCATTCGAGGGTACTTAACTGTTAATATTTAATCAGCTTGTTGTTAACTAATCCCTCCCCGCAGAGTTTGGCGTGCTCCCGGAGCTGGGAAAGGCCACAGACGAGTTGGACTGGACGTAAAGGGAAAACCACTAGGGTTTCTGCAATTAATAACACTTTTAATTTACAGCCTTCCCACTGATGTCCAGGCGGAGGCCATTCCTCTAATACTGGGTGGTGGCGATGTGCTGATGGCCGCCGAAACCGGATCGGGAAAAACGGGTGCCTTCTGCCTGCCCATCCTGCAGATCGTGTGGGAGACTTTGCGAGATCTGGAGGAGGGAAAAGTGGGTAAGGGCGGTGGAAGTGGACTATCAGTGGCTCCCTGGACCATGTCATTCTTCGACCGCGGCAACGCCCTCGCCGTCACTCCCGATGGCCTACGCTGCCAGTCGCGGGAGTTCAAGGAGTGGCACGGGTGCCGGGCCACCACTGGAGTCCGGGGCAAGGGAAAGTTCTACTTCGAGGCCACGGTCACGGACGAGGGCCTGTGTCGCGTCGGGTGGTCCACGCAACAGGCGAATCTCGATCTAGGCACCTGCCGCATGGGCTTCGGATTCGGTGGCACCGGCAAGAAGTCCAACAACCGCCAGTTCGACGACTACGGTGAGGCCTTCGGTAAAGCGGATGTCATTGGCTGCCTGCTGGACTTGCAACGTTTGGAGGTGAGCTTCTCCAAAAATGGACAGAACTTGGGAGTCGCCTTTCGCCTGCCGGAGAACTTAGCCAAGGAGACCTTCTACCCGGCCGTGGTTCTTAAAAACGCCGAAATGCAATTCAACTTGGGAAAGACTGACTTCAAGTACGCTCCGGGCAATGGATTCATGGGCGCCTGCCAGGCTGGAGCGGAGCACAGCAAGGCCAATCCACTGGCCAGTCCCGCAGCTGGATCCGCTTCTGCCAAGCCAGCACCGAACGCCCCCCAGGCCATTATTATAGAGCCCAGCAGGGAGCTGGCCGAGCAGACCTACAACCAGATTGAAAAGTTTAAGTACCATCTGAGCAACCCCGAGGTGCGCTCTCTGCTTCTAATCGGCGGCGTGAGACTGGAGGAGCAAAAGGCGCAGCTGATGCATGGCACACACATCGTAGTGGGCACACCCGGGAGGCTAGAGGAAATGATCAACAGCGGCCTGGTGCTGCTCACTCACTGCCGCTTCTTCGTCTTAGATGAGGCGGACGCCCTTCTGAAGCAGGGCTACACCGAACTGATTGATCGACTGCACAAGCAAATCCCTAAGATCACAACAGACGGTCGCCGGCTGCAAATGGTTGTCTGCTCGGCTACGCTGCACGCTTTCGAAGTGAAGAAGATGGCCGAGCGCCTGATGCATTTTCCCACCTGGGTAGATCTGAAGGGCGAGGATGCCGTGCCGGAGACTGTGCACCACGTGGTTTGCCTTGTTGACCCGCAGGCGGACACCAGCTGGGAGTCGCTGCGCCATCCAATTAACACCGACGGCGTCCACGCCCAGGACAACGTTCATCCAAGCAATCCTTCCAAAGAGACGCAGTCGCAGGCTGTGAAGCTGCTCAAGGGCGAGTACTGTGCCCTAGCTATTGATAAGCACAAGATGGACCGAGCCATCATATTTTGCCGCACCAAGCAAGACTGTGACAACCTGGAGAGATACCTAAAATACCAGTGTGGTGGGCAACGCTACTCGTGCGTCTGCCTGCACGGCGACCGTAAACCCCAGGAACGCAAACAGAACCTGGAGATGTTTAAGCGGCAGGAGGTCAAGTTCCTAATTTGCACGGATGTGGCGGCCCGCGGTCTAGACATCACAGGACTACCTTTCAGTGAGTTATCAATTTGCCCTTGCACACAGATCTAGAATAAGTTAGATCAAGAGAACTCCATGAATAGTGAAAATATTGCAAGAGAATCAATTAAGAGGGATATAAATGAAATAAATGTAGTTGGTTTTTGTATCGTCCTATTAAACAATAATTGTAGTTATTGGATTACTTTTGTGTTATAGAAGAAATTATAATATAACCGACGTATGACCTCGAGTAATCCTATAACTACAATTGACGTAAATTAATTTAATTTTATTTTGATAACGAATCAAAGCCGCGGCCCTATTAAATTTCTGAGAATAAAACAGACAGCGTCCGTTGTCCGTGTCCGTTTCATTCCTGAATCATGGATTAATTTAATTAAAAAAATAAAATAGGGATCCCTGGGATAACCATCAAGAAAACAAGATCTTATTTGCCCAAATTGTTTCCATGACAGCTTTCAATCCAGTGATGGTTCCATATAAACTGCCGTATTTTCATTTATATAGGGCCACGAAAATATATAGAAAGAACGCGTGTTGCTGAGATTACTTTTTTTGCAATTCTGATTTCTATGGTTTTTATTCTAAATATTTTTATATCATTTTTGGATTTGATATCCTTACAATTAATTTCCGGATTGAGCACATGGAATATCCTATGAATCCTAAATAGTATTATATTTATTTGAAAAACTTATTTCACTATTTCTGGTACATAATAACATCAATAATTCATTTTCCTTCCGCCGTTAGTGATCAACGTAACGCTTCCCGACGACAAGACCAACTACGTGCACCGAATCGGACGAGTGGGCAGGGCGGAGCGCATGGGTCTTGCCATTAGTCTGGTGGCCACGGTGCCGGAAAAGGTGTGGTATCACGGCGAGTGGTGCAAGTCGCGCGGCCGCAACTGCAACAACACCAACCTAACCGACGTCCGTGGATGCTGCATCTGGTACAACGAGCCGAACCTTTTGGCCGAGGTGGAAGATCACCTGAATATCACCATCCAGCAGGTGGACAGGGCCATGGAGGTTCCAGTCAACGACTTCGACGGCAAGGTTGTGTACGGCCAGAAAAATTTGAACATGGGCAGCGGCTACCAGGACCATGTCGAGCAGTTGGTGCCCACCGTGCGAAAGCTGACCGACCTGGAGTTGCAATCACAATCTTTATTTTTGAAACGCCTTAAGGTCTAACGCGAATCTGGAGCGGTATTCGTTTGCTAAGCAAGGAGAGGGTATGGTGAAATGAGGCGACTGCATGACCGACTCATGCGGGAATACTTTTGCGGCACAGACACACATAAATATTTAGGAAATCGGAGCTCTAGCTCTGCCATTACGAGTAAACATTCAATTAAACTAACATTAAAATCTTCTGTCTAAAGAGTAAACAGCCTCGGTTGGGAGATGGAGTCCGTTTGCCATCACTACTCCTCCTCCTCCTCCTCCTCGTCCTCCTCGTGAAACTCGGTCCGCATCTGCTGCAGCTGTCTGAGCTGCTGGCACAACTGGTTACCAAACGACTCTACATAGCGTGGACTGATCTTGTCCAGCAGCGCGTAGGGCGTTTCGAAGATCTCTTCCTGCTCATCTTCTTCCTGGTTTTGTCCGTTGCGGAGCAGGGCGGAGATCCGTGGATCCTCGTCTATGGTGTCGTACTGGGAGGAGACGATTTTGAAGCCACGACTGGTCACCTGCACGCAGCAAGTGGCGCTTTCAATGGTGCGGATGTTAAGGTAGATCTGCGTGGCATCGCTCGCCAGTTTGGAGGAAATGCATATCTCCGCGACGTGTGCCTTCACATCGTTGATGATGGCGTTGGCCTCGTCCTCGCAGTTGAAGGCCTGCTCCTCACCAAGCTCCGCGCTGGTTTTTGGTTCGCCCATCCTGTCAGGTTCGCAAGGAAAGCTTAGGCTCGCCTTTTAATTGAATCCCAGTCGATTTTGTTCGGTTCTTACAGGCGCAACATGTCTTTTCTTTTCCATATGTCACAGCAGCTGTCTGGCATCTAACACGCGTTAGTATATTTTAGATGGCGGAATGGGAGAGGTACGTTCCGATTTTCGTTTTCTCTAAACAATACCACATTTTATTTGATCATTTAAGCCTAGTACTCAGATCGACGAATATGCCAGTCATGAGAGAGAGTGAGAGCCAAACAGCTGTCGTTCACTTTTAGTCAGGCTTTTTATTCACCTCGGTACTCAGAGCGACGGAAAAATACCAGAAAATTACTTCGCGCTGCCAACCACGTGAAAAAAACTTTTGGTGAGCCCTAGCGTAAAGAATTAAAAATGTAATCTTTTGGCGTGCGCTTCTCACTGGACATTTTAATAAATGGAGGGAAAAAATCAAAAAACCCGCAAAAGTCGATTGCAGGAGTTTACATGTGAGGAGAAAATAACATCAATACTATCTGGTGTGCCTCTTGTCAGAGCAAAGTGTTTCTTAGGTCATAAATGTACGAAAAAACACAATAAAAGTGCAGCTATGAACTTTAAATTAGCTAATAATTATCAGTAAATTAAAAAAAAAACTGTTATGCCCTCTTCTCACAGAGCTCCATCCACCATCCGTTGAACGGATGGTTAATAAGGTTTTACCGTTCCGAAAATTCCGAGATAGTTTCCCATCCAAATTTGACGGACATTTTTATGCGATAGTTAGGCGATGTTTTTATGGTGCAACTCTGAGTTCTTCTTCTTGACAGTGGAAATTGGAACATTCACACGAAAATTAAAAAAAATAATGGCGGGTAACTTTTGAACAGGAAGGCGCCAATTCAAAAAATGCTTTTTATACTTGTAATAATTAATTAATTACTGCTCAATCCGTATGGCAGCATTAGGTGTTGCTTCACTCTTTCCTAGGCGCATACCGTACTCACAACATGGAGCAGAACATTTAAAATAAAATAAAATATGAAATTATAATAAAACAAAGAACAAACATTTATATATAAAATCAACTTCATGTGTTACCATTTAGACAATATTGGTTAATAGCTGTTCATATTTTGTCTGCAGGCTGGCAAAAATCTGCAGACGTATTAGTTCGATTTGGTTGTTCGCGTAGATCACTTTCAGTCTGTTACCAGGTATCATTTATAACGCTGTTGTGCTCATTTTAAATGTTGTGCAAAATGCAACGGACTAAAATGATGAGCCACAGCTGTTCAGATCAGCTGTTATCGGATGGTGGATGGTGTATGTTCTCTGTGGGAATCGGAGTTTCACATTTGTCAAAAATCCCAACCGTTTCAGACGGATGGACTCTATGGGAAGAGGGCATTAAATTTAAATTGAATTGTTTTTTAATTTCTTTGTACAGCGGCAGACTTGTCTTGCCAAGGTAGTTGAAAATATCTTTTAAAAGCTCTTTCCCGCAAATACGATATTTGAATTTTAACTGCTTGTCAAAAAACCCATCTGATGGATGAACTCTCGAAATTTTGGTCACACTGGAATGATTAAAGTTTTTACGCTAGCGGACTCGTTTGTCGATCTGAGTACTAGGCTTTACTTTAAATACTTCGACTTCCTTAAGTCTAGTACTCAGATCGACAAACGAGTACCCTAGCGTAAAATCTTTAATCTTTCCAGTGTGACCAAAATTTCGTGAGTTCATCAGAATTATGTCGTACTGTCAATCATTTGGTTTGTTGACAAGCAGTTAAAATTCAAATATCAATATTATCAGATATTATCAACTACCTTGGCAAGACAAGTCTTCAAGTTTTTTTTATTTTACTGATAATTATTTGCTAATTTAAAATTCATAGCTGCATTTTTATTTTTTTTTTTTTACCTAAAAAACATTTTGATCTGACAAGAGGCACCCCATTTAGTATTAATGTTATTTTGTCCTCACATGTAAAATCCTGCAATCGACTTTACCAGGTTTTTTATTTTTTCCTCCATTTTTTAAATGTTCAGTGAGAAGCGCACGCCAAAATATTATTTTTGCCTGGGTTTATCAAAGTTCTTCCAGGTGGTTGGCCGGAAATTTTCTGGTTTTTTCGTCGTTCTGAGTACCGGGTGATAAAAGCCTGACTAAAGTGACGCCAGCTGGCGTCGTTTTGTCGATCTGGTACTGGCTTAAAGCAATTGTTTTGATTGATCGTTCCAATGGAAACTATATGATATGACTATATCCGATTATTACTAAAGTAAAACCGTATTTCTGAAATTGTTCAAATTGAATATATCTCGGAGTATATGGGTATATATAAAAATATAAAGTATTATAATGTTAATTTCCTTTTTCCCGATTGTTCCCATGTCAGCTTTATGATACAGTCTTTCGATATTTATAAAACTGCTTAACTTAATCTTTTAAATTGGTTTCTTGTATGTTTGTGGACATGTATCAAATAGCGGCTTTAAAGTCTTAGAAGAATATTAATTTTTGTTCTAAAAATTGTTTACTGGATAAACCGAAAATGAAAAATATTACACGCTTTCAATTTAAAAACTCACAATGATTAAGTCACGTTCAGACTTGTATAAAAAAAGCGTGATTAAATAAACGTTGTTTTATGTTTTAAAACGTAGTGTTGATATTTTTAAGAGAAAATCAGAAAAGAGCTCAAGTAATTGGACCGCCGTGTTGTACATCTCTAAAGTTTTCTCAATTAATTTTTAAGCCTAGTGCTCAGATCGAAGAAATCTGTTAGCTATGAGGGAGAGCAAGTGACTGCATCTGGCGATCGCCCAAAAAAAAATTTTACTACCGGTGAAAGTATGTCAGGCTATTTTTAATGGTAAATGAATGCTAAGTTTTTAAACTAAGTTTTACTTTTGTAAACCGTTCCCTTAGGATGGTGCTCTGTGTGAATGGGCTTTTAAAAACCCAATTCTGTGTTCTAACCACCACCGTTTCGTTTTCGTGGCTATTTACGCACATTATTTCTTTGGTATATTTTTCGAAGCCCGTGGTGTTTTTAAACGGTGCAGCTACGGTCACGTCGGATCCGTTTGGGATTTCATTGCGAAAAAATAAAAGAATCAAGGCAACGGCGCGGCGACGACGACTCAACTGCAATTTGAAGAAAAGTTGTGGGTGCTTGGCAGACAGAGATTCAGGGCGTGTGACAGCGATCGCGAGTGTAGTGCTAATTACCCGTTCGCAGGCAAAGTGACACAGGCACGAGCGGCAAAATGAGCGCACCTGGCATGGATAAAAGAAAACTCTCGTAAGTATTTGCAGTGTTCCTTCGTTTTTCCTCCACTGCGCACTCACACACGTCGTCGGCAGAGTACACACACAGTCACACACTGTTCTGTGTGTGAGTGTGAGTAGCAGCTGCGCGCAGGCAGCGCGGTTGGCGTAGAATTGATTTTTCGCGGCAGAAGTTTTCTCGAGCCTGCCCAGCAGGCATTTCCTTCGCTGTGACGGGATAAGCACGGATCAGGGCCGAGGGAAAGATGTGGAGGGGGAGAGTGGCGGGGCAGCAAGAGCAGACAACCCGACAAACGATTTCGTCCTGGACAAGGCCAAGGACAAACTCCTGCAATCCTACGAATGTCGATTATATTTCAAGGAAAAGACAACAATCGCTGTTGTACCCGGTATTCACGGAGTTTAGAGGCCATATTTTTGCAAAAGTATGTAACAGGTAGACAAGAGTTTCCGATCCTGTAACGTACATATGTATATCTTGACCAACAGCCGCTTCGACAAGATATCAAAACCTATAGGGGCTGTATTATACAGAATGGACATGGAGTCTCTTGACTTATTCATGACTCACAACATTCCTAATATTTTAATAAGATTCAACTGAAAAGTGTTTCAAATCTAACCATGCTAAAGAGAGTTAGCAAGAATAATTGATTTCGCTAATACGACGCTTGCAATTTTGACTTTTCTATAGCTGACTATTTTCATGTTTACTCTTCGTGCAACTCATACAGAATTTCCTATAAGTGAGCGATAACAACGGACCTCCAGATTCGCTAACTAGCCGGAGCCCGTTATCAGCCATAGAGTTTTACAGTCGTGCTAGCCCACTATCCCCTTCGGCCTGATATGAGTAATGCCAGCACGAACTGCTTTTATTTGGCCCAGTTCTGGGCGCTGTGCAAGGCGAAAGCGAGTTGGTTTTGCTTGTCGTGACGCCTGCCAGCGTCCTTGGCCCTGTGCAGCCGCCCATTTCCCACTGACCCTGGGCTTCCATCCGCTTGCGCCCCTAATCACCCTCATCATCGTGGTCCTCAACCACTTTGACAAGCGCTTGCCGTCTTATCAGCTCGCAGATTCTGCCCGCGCTCAAAGCGGGTGCAGACAAAGCTTCCCCTCATGCACTGGCCCGGCCTATAAATAGCACCCACCTGCTCAGGAAAATCCATACGGTGTGCATGTGGAAGGGCGCAATTTATGCTGCACGCGACCCTGCTGCAGAGCCAGTTATGCCACCTGCTTACGCCCTGGATGCCCCCAATGCCAACGCCTGGTCCTCGGGTGCAGGCAAGCCCAGAGGCCAAGTGCTCCCTTGGATGTGCTCCCATCGCGTGCCACAGCTAACTGTTGCTGTGGTGACTCATAGCCCACAGGTTTTAGCCCTTGGCTATAATCGCACTCGGCCAGAGAGTGACTTACGCTGCTGAAAAAATGTCTGCGGCACAGTACAACTCCGAAGTCTTATCTGACTATTCTTATCAGCCATTAATTCCAAATGCCGCACAGTGGATAGTAACCCCACTATAACGCTGCGATCGTCATAATAGTATTTCACTTCTTTATCCAGCACATCGGGCGACTCGCTCTACGAAATCCTGGGACTTCCGAAGACGGCCACCGGCGATGATATCAAAAAGACGTACCGGAAACTCGCACTCAAATACCATCCCGACAAGAACCCCGATAATGTCGATGCGGCCGATAAGGTGAAATTTAGGCGATTAATTTCGTCCGTAACTCACTTTTTAACGTCCTAATTTCTGCAGTTCAAAGAGGTGAACCGGGCCCACTCGATACTGAGCGACCAGACCAAGCGCAACATATACGACAACTACGGATCCCTGGGCTTGTACATAGCAGAACAATTTGGCGAGGAAAATGTCAATGCGTACTTCGTGGTCACTTCGCCGGCTGTGAAGGTAAGGAATCGCAGGCAATAACGTCGTTGGACGAGTTGAATAATCTCTGATCTTCTTCACAGGCGGTGTTCATTTGCTGCGCAGTGATCACTGGATGTTGCTGTTGTTGCTGCTGCTGCTGCTGTTGCAACTTCTGCTGCGGCAAATTCAAGCCGCCGGTCAACGAGTCCCACGACCAGTATTCACATCTGAATGTGAGTGATGTTTAAATTGGCAGAGCCAAATTCAAGTTTCTCCCCGCCCCCAAACCCAGTCCGCTAGTAAATGAAATCATTTTGATTTAGTTGAGAAAAGAGAAAACAAGAAAAACAATCTGGTGCAATGCCAATACTCTGGCTCTAACGCATGCTTCCCATCCACCTCCACTGTAATATTGCCAACTAAAAACACTTAACCAATTTTGATGATTTTTGTGAGGAGATCCGTATTGTGGTTCCGTTTGCAAAGCTAGTGTTTAGTCAAAAACGTGCTCCTACATCTGCTATCAACGCTTGCTAACTAGCTTAACCGATCAATAAACGACTAACCATTTTCTAAGTATAATTTAATAGTATAATTTATCAGCTTTTTCGGCACGCCACTTCCTTTGTTTGCTTAAGACCAGTACATACACTCGAATCTCTGATTGCACAGCTTAGTTCTTAGTTTTTCGTTGGGGTAAGTATAAAGTTTCGTTTTGGTTTTTGGTTCTCGGTACTCAATACACGGCAGAGATCAGTAGCCTGGTTTCTGGGACCAGAGGTAAACACTACTAACCCACCACACAAACTGTTACGATCAATGCGAGTTATATTTAATTTTTCAAAATTTCATATTGATTCTATGTTTTGTAATGTACTTCACGAAAATCATCAAATGCTTCCTACGTTTTCCCTCTCTATCTATTGATGTAAACTAATGATAACTTCACCGCTCGGATTTTGCTGCGACTGAGTGTTTGCGAAATCGAATTTCCAGACAAAAATCGAGCGATTTTGATTTCATCCACGATTGCTTTTCTTGTTTTTCCGTGCCCCATTCCGCATTCAGTTTTAGTTCGCACCTACATCAGCAGCGTTCTTCCTTTGTTTGTTTGCAAGCTAAGAAAGAGAAGCCGACGATTTAAGTTTCTATTTTTGTTAAACTTTTTTTTTCTCAAAACTGCGATCGACTCATCATATCCACCACCTACTACCACCCACAACCACCACACACTCGCTCTCGACCGCGCCGTTAGCGCCCTGATGGCAATCGAGAGGTCAACGATTTGCCACCGCATTTGGGACAGCCGCCACGTCTTGTAAGTATCCGAATCGAAAATGATAACAGCACGAGTACCGCATGAACTCGGGGCAACATCACCTGCCGCCTGCCACCCGTCACCCACCGATTAATTAACGCAAAGCCAATAACCAAATCCGAACTCTAGTTAAACGGTAACCAATTAAAATTTATATGTTTCAATGGAACAAGTCAAACTAACATTTAGTCGCAAAATTAACACGAAAGAGATCCCACGAAGAGATGACAAAAAAGGAAATTTTCTTTAATAAGTTTGTGAGAATGGGTTCGCCATTCTTCTGCTGTAAATGCTTGGGTAAATTTCTTATGATTTTCTTACTTTGCTATCATCTTACTAATTTTAATTTTGTAGTATTTTGCTTGTCGTGTAATTGTAAGCACAACAGTATTTTAATCGTAGCTTAGCTGTAGAATAGTGAACATGGCTTGTAGATAGCTCACCCACGAATTTTCTTGACTAAACATTGCCGAAGGTACCATCCCTCCAAGCTCTCAAAAATTAAACGCACCGTTGAAGTTAAAGCAAAAGTTTGTCTAATCACTTTTTTGTGTGTCCTGCAGGAGGACGCCGATCTTGACGACGTGAATCTAGGAGCGGGCGGAGCCCCCGTGACCTCACAGCCGCGCGAACAGGCCGGAGGACAGCCCGTTTTCGCCATGCCGCCTCCCAGTGGAGCCGTGGGAGTCAACCCTTTCACCGGTGCTCCCGTGGCTGCTAACGAGAACACATCGCTGAACACAACGGAGCAGACCACTTACACGCCAGGTATATAAACAGTCGGTCCAGAAGTCAGCCTCTCTGCCAGCCCGCAGAGAAGGTAGCCAGTCTAGCGTCTTTGACCATCGAACTTGTTATTGTGCATAAATCGAACAAATATTGTAACCTTCGGTCGCTGGATAAGTGGCGCAGGCACTCAGTCACCTCTCGACATAGCCCGTCCAGCGATCAGATTAACACCTCCTAGCAGTTAAGCTCGTGTATTCTGCAAGGTATTTTTTAGACACTCCCTGTGTATGTAACGTCTCACACATGCGCAGGCATAACCATTCGTCCACGCGAAGATGGGATCCACCTACATAATCATATTACCACACACTGCCCGAGCGACGGGATAGGCATTGCCTTGATTGATTGATTCGCCCTCGTATATTCCCTAGGTTTGTGGCAGTCGTTTTCAAATCCCCCCTTTTGAAGGACCGTTTTCCAGATCCATTTTCAAGATTTTTTCAAGCTTTAGTTACCGTCTCGATTTCGTTGGATTATCCTTATTACCATCTGTATGTTTCATAAAGAGATTAAGACCTGTGAAATTCATTAAGATTAAGTTTGATTTTTTTTTATTTTATCTTTTGTTATGCAACTTGAACATTTTAATTTGTTCTCACTTTTCACTGTTTACTATTCTCTCTCTCCCTTTCTCTCCACCTTTAGATATGGTTAATCAAAAATATTAGTCAAGTGCTGCGAGCGAATCAAGCCCCATGTGCATGCGTACGCCACACATTCAGATACAGACACAGAAAAATACAAACCCCTAAATCGTAACAGAAAAAGAAAACCAGATTTATTTCCTAATTATTAAAGTTGTTTTTAAGATGCGCGATATGTTGAAGCGAGTAAACATAAAAACCTATGTATTTATTTTAAGCCGTAGCACTTAGCTCTAATTTTAAACAATCTTACTTGGTGGCGGCCTCGTGGCCAGTCGTGTTGATCTTGTTCCACTTCGGATAAGTTTCACCAATTCCATTGTTTAAGCCAGTTACCTAGCTCTACAGCTATATAAAACTCGAATCGATAGCCAAGCTGCGCACCCACCATCTCCACCTATCCAGCCATGCTAAGAACACCTGCGGTGTTAATTAAATTATATATCGGGAGTTTATCTAGACATTTGCTTGGGGATCGGATCCCTTTCGGCGTAGCTCCGTGACTTGGGAGTCAGCCGCAGTGGACAATGAATCGACTTCTCGCGAAGAGAGGCACTGTAATTATATATATGTATATGATATGTGTATCTAGTTTGCATTTGTGTCGTCGCCTAGTCTAGCTTAATTGTTCGCAAGATCGCCTCTTCACCGATTGTTTCTGTTAATTTGCACTAAATTGTTAAAGCCCAAACTACTTATGTAAAGAAGATGAATTGTCGAGCGACGCGCCAAGCAGATTGCTCCGATCCGATTCTAATGCAAATGTAAATAAGTCAACTTAAGCAATTAATCATCACACAGTCAAGCAGCAGAGGTCGATGAAGAAGGACACTATAAAAGGCGAAAGTTAATGGAAAGATAAATTATATAACAGATATTAATAATCCTCTCTTTATATATATAAATTAAATACGAGTAATCAAAAGTTAAATTGTAACCCCTGAAAGTATTGCACATATGTATTCTAAAATTATTTTCAAAATGAATTGTATCCTGTTTGATTTTCGTTTAATTGTTAACCCGCTTTTAAATGTAAATGAATGCAATTAGTACGGCAGTAGCTAACTTTTATATACCTAGAACCCCCCATTATAAATCATTGACATAAATTATGCGGATCAGCTCTGGGCCAGGTTTGAACTTATAGGGTTCGTATGTCCGAGTGTTCCTGGCTCATCTATAGAAGAAACATGCATATATGAAATTCAATTAATGATAATTACATTTTGAGGTCTTGCCTGTGTATTTATTGTTCGTACAAGTCAAAGGCAAAAATACTAAGTAAACTAAATTTAAACTTAACAATTGTTTCCAAATTTCAATTGTATTCTGGTATAACACGAAGAAACCGAAATAAATTTACTATACAAACTCACGGCTGTGTCCTGTTCTTGATGCTCCCACAGGGTATGCCCCAGTCGACTCTGCCGCTGGAAAGCTCCAGTAGGTTGGTAAACAAACCCCGTTCTAGGGATGAACTTTCAACGGCGCCAGCTGACTGCAGTAGCTTTCACTCTCTCCGCTCTGGTTTGTTTTGTTTTGGGGCAGTAACGGGCAACCGCCGGCACATGCGCTCTGCCCGCTCCCCGGACTCTCTAAACTTCGCCGCAGAGTTTTCCGCCTCAGAACCCGAAGGGCAGTCCGTCGGAGAGTTCCAGCGAAGTGCGGACAAAGGAGAAGACTTTTCCTGGTTGCTGCTCCTGCTGCTGCGCTGCTCCTGCCAGAAATACAGAAGTGGAAAATGTGATGTGCTCGCTTTAATTGTCGAGGATAAATCAATTCCGCTGTTAACCAGATTACTGGCGCGTACGTAGCTAAAGGCAGCGGAATCGAATTGGCCAAGTCGGAGGCAGGCCGTGGAAAAACCCCCCTCGCGAACCAGTTCGTGGCAGTGTGTGTGTGTGTGTGGCTTTTCGCCTTACTTTTTTCATGCGCAATTTGGGTTACAAAGCGAGAAAAACTCTGCTTAAAATGCATTAAAATGTTTTAGGCACGGGCTTCATTGATTTTCCTACGCACAAAAGTATGTTACACGAAGTCCAAACCAGCAACAGGAACAGGAACAAAGGAAGTAGACCAGCGATGAGGACAAAGACGCGAGTAAGCTGCTTCTAGCTGCCCAGTGGTCACCAGGACTAGGCGAGGGACCAGCCCCGCACAGATCAGGATACTCACCCCGGGCGGAACGCAGCGCAGGCATCCTGGCGCCGGTACTGCCCAGTAGCGGCATGGCCGGCCTCGTCGGCTCCGCCAACGGAAAGCACCACCCTCACCTCATCTCGCCCACCCACTCGACTCTGCCGGCCGGCATATGCAGCAGTGATAGCGGCATCTCCACGCTGAGTGCCATCTCGCCCCCGCTCTCCACCGCGACCACGACGGCGTCCGGTGCAGGCGGTGGAGTGGGCGGCAGCGGCGGTAGCCCCCAGCTTCGCACCTCGCCTGCGCTGAGCATGCTGGGCAGTGCCACGGCGACGGCCAGCGGGAGCACGGCCTCGGCTGGAGGTGGCCTCACCGCCGGAATCCTGGGCCCGGCCGCCAGCATCGACTTGGGCAGTTCGCCGCTCTCGCATCGCAACTACAGCAACTCGCTGAAGGGCTTCAGCTTCCGGCGCAGCTTCGACGACAAGATCATCACTCCGCCCTACTTGTCGCGCGCCCCCGCTTACGCCCACGGCATCCCCTATCCGCACTTTCATGCTCCCCAGCCCGGCCTGCACCTGCACCACCATGGAAACGGCACTGCAGCGGGATCGGGATCGGGGTCGGGATCTGGCGCTGGATCTGGAGGAGGACACTATCAGCAGCCGCTTTCACTGGCCTCGATGTCTGGGGCCCTGCCACTGGCGCCGCTCTACGGATCCCCGCTGTCGCTGCCGCTGACCTCCTCGCAGTCCACCACCAAGCTCTCCTACCGCGACGACTTTCTGCAGCAGATTGGCTACCTGCCAACGACGCGCATCTACAGCACCCCGACCAGCATCGTGGACGAGGACAAGGCTCAGCAGGACTTCCTCTCGCTGTCGCTCTCCCCGCCGCTCAACCGACGCCGGGACATGCCGGCGCTGCGCGGTCCCTTCGTCAGCCTGTAAGTATCCTGGGTACGGGCGGTCAAATGTTCCTTGGTGTAATATAGTCTGAGGAGAGAAATTTTCTTGTGCCAGCACTTTATAACTGCTATAAGAAAATCGGGCAGTCCATGTGAAAGGCATGGCTACCATAAATTCCGATCAATTAAGTTGTATGTTGTTATATTAAGTATGCATGCTGACAGGGAGTTAAGGGATATTGGATACGTTATAGCCTACACTTAAAAAAAATTGTTGATATCATTAATTTGGATATTTTGATTTTCAAGAAAGTAAATTTTTTTTTTGCAACTCAGAATTAAGAGTTAAATATCTCAAGAACGGTCTTTTGAGAATTTTTGAATGAGTTCATTTAATCTAAATTAGAATAAGCGGTTATAACAAAAATTTAGATTATACAAAACGGCAATACTTAGATTTTTTCGGTCACTTTTAAATAAAATTTCAGCTTTATAAAATGAAAAATGTATTTTTTTAATTTGAAGAAATGTTTATAGCTCGACCTAAGGTGTATATGTAGAAAAACAGCCAGTAATGCCGGTTTTTATTTTATTTTCCTATATATATTAATTTTTCGTCACAATTTTTGATATCGTTGAGATCGTCACGACATTTTCACATCGTTAGGGTTGTTTTTGTTTAATACAAAACAAGGGTTTAATAATACAATTTTATAAATAGGCCCTGGTGGAATAAATTACGAAAATCAAGTATACGCCCTGTGTGTTTCGCGTGTCTCCCGCTTAACCAATAAATTCATCGAACTGAAACGAGCAGTTCCAGTATCTATGTGGATGGGGCGGCCAAGTGTTTATGTTCCCACTATGCAGGCACAGTGGTCCTCAGTAGGTCTCACAGATCCAAAAGCGCAGCACATTCGTTCGATTCTCTCCGTCCCACAGTGCGCTGGCATTCAACTGAAACCTAAATGGGATAACAATTTCACACACTACCTACTTGTGTGGCATAGTTTCCCAATTGCGGTGCCTCCTCCCTCCCTCGCTCCCTAAATTCAACGTCCCCTACCTCCCCACTCGTAATCCTAAGCCGACCACCCCCATCAATTCCCTCACGCTGTCCGCTCGGTTTGTTTACGTTTTAATTTGCCTTAACCGCAAGTTGGCACCACGTGACGCCAGTGGGTAACCAACAGGCATCCCCAACACATCTGAGCCACCACCTTTCCTCCTTCACATTCAGCCGCCCTCAAAATCTCGAAAGCTCACTGCAATTGAGCAGAACGATGACGTTTCTCTGCCTCTAGATGCTCTGTTTTTGCACTGATTTCCTCAGCGATTTATTGTTTTTATACGCTTCTTTGGGCGTCTATAAATAATAATGTGGAAGAAGCAGCGCCGAGTAAGGTGCGTTCGTGTGTGAGACATAGGGTGACTCAAGAGGCAAGCTTTTCCCTTTAAAGGAGTCGTTCTAGCTCCATAGGAAACAAAGAGTGACCCAAGCAAGGAGGGGTTGCAAAAATCAATAGTCTGGTTAGTCATTTTATGAACCCAAACATTTGCATACTGTACGGGCGGCGGACTGCAATCGCATTCCGAGGAATTTTTCAATCGCACCCGAACGCTCGAAACTACCTTTCAATGTGGTTTCGAAACCTTCTGGAATTCGAGGTATTTGAAATCCTGCTTGTCGAACACCCCTCTACAAAGGCCAGGCAAACTTGGCATGGTGCCTAAGAAATCTAGAAGAACTTGATGATGATGCTGATGGGCCCCGCATGTGTGTGTTAATGTGGTGGATTCTTTCCTGGTGTGGTGCAGTCCATGACCGGCAAAGGCGCCGAACAACGATGGCAACGACATCGACTTGATGAAGTACATTGGATAATGACGCCAGCAGATATACACTGCGGAAAAAGGTCCATCTTATTTAAAACAAAAAGTATTACTTCATAAGGAGTCGGTTTGGGTGCTCTAAAATTGTGGGGGCAGTGGTATGGGGGCAATGCTTTTTATAGACCATTTCAAGCAATATTGGCCAATAAACTAGTAATCTGAAATAACAACATCAGTTTGGTTGGAATTTTCTTTAAAATGATTTCTTTGACATTCCCGGTAGAACCTACAATATGGGAAAGTTTGTGTTTGTCTTCAATACGTTTTCCGGATTTTTTTCAATGTAACACTTTACGGAAAACTATCGGTGGGCACAGTTTCTAGGTGATCCGCACACAGTCACACTCTACCGGGCCGGGGCGGTGGGGGGTGGGTTGGGGCGAAAGGAGAGCGGACGAAGACTAAACTTAGTTGTGACAAAAAAACAGAACAGAAATAACAGAAAATACTCGCGCGAGTTGGAAACGGCTGCGCCTTGGCCCGCTCAGGAAGAGGCGGCAAAAACAAAAGCGAAAAGCAAAGCCATTTCGACATTCTCGCGGACGCAACTGAACGAATCGGACGAACGAGGAAAGATACTCGCGCAGATACAGATACTTTTCATAATTCAGATTTTTCCGCTGTGCGATATTTTATTTATTTACCCCGCACGGTCTACTGTGTTATGTAAGGGGTGTGTGTGCAAGCCCAGTGTTTGTGTTTCGACCAAACTCGTTCGGCGGGTGTCCGTGATGCAAGTGGGGGCATAGAAAAGTCAAGGTCGCATCCCCGCCCACACGCACGCCCACAGCAACCCCCCGTTACTGCACCCGGGGGCCATGAACGCGCGAATGCCGAGTCAGAAATCCAATTGTCGAATCGAGCAGTGAAGCGAGTCAGAAATGGATGGCTGGGGGACACACCCCAGCCTGGAAGGGGCCACCTGTCCCCTGGAGGCCAACGCCACGCTGGGCCTTGGGTGGCGAACGACTCTGCTGGACCATTGGTATTGGTGGATTGATCTCCACCCGGACTACATGCTCCGCCTCCAGCTCCTCGCATCTCTCGCCGGCAGGCTGCACCTGCTGAGCCGGCGCGTCCTGGCCACCCTTGCCCAGGACCCGATCTTCATGGGCGTGCTGCAGGTCAGCCTGCTGCTGCTGTTCCTCTTCTTGATGCACCTGCTCCGGCTGTGGAGCTGCGGTGCCGGACCTGAACAGCCTCTGAACGCCACGTCCGACGTGACCAAGGAGCTGACTTGCGACTTCAACTTCGTTTCCGAGCAGGAGAAGCGGGCTGCCCAGGAGGCGGCCACAGAGGCCCTGCTGGAGGTGGAGGAGAAGAAGCGGCGCAAGAGGTTCACCAAGAAGCGAAACTGCGTCTCCGCCGGTCCCATCCTCATTGCCCTGCGCCAACAGTCTAAGAGGCCAAAGCACCACCGCCACTTGGCGCTGTTATTTGAGCCCGTGACTCCCGGAGAAGTGGTCCTGGACACCTACTTGCCGCCGCGGGAGCAGCCCCTCACCATTAAGCTGCCTCAATTGGCAGATGCGGTCAAGGAAGAGGATGCGGATCATCCCGAGTTTAAGTGGGTTTTTGGGGACCTTTTCTACCTTTAATCATGAGAACATATTAATATGGGTGTAAACTGATCTTAACCATCTCCCAATTTCCCGCATTTCAGATCGGAGCCCCGCGGTACTCTAAGCACGACGGACGAAATCTACCCGGACTCGTCCGACAGCAGTCTGTACGTTTCGGACGAGGAGCAGGAAGACGCCTCTCAGTACTGTCGTGGTGGCTACCATCCAGTGGTCATTGGGGACATCTTCGACAATCGGTTTCGCGTGGTGCGCAAACTGGGCTGGGGCCACTTTTCCACTGTATGGCTGTGCCGGGATCTCAAGTGAGTGGAGCAAGTCAAAGTTTCCCCCCGATTTACAAGGTTATTTTAAAATCACCATTCCCGCAGAGACGAGAAGTACGTGGCCCTCAAGGTGGTGAAAAGTGCTCCGCACTACATCGAGACCGCTGCAGACGAGATCCGACTGCTGGAGGCAATCCGCGATGCTGACCCCATGGACGTCAAGCGGGAGAGGATCGTGCGGCTGATGAACCACTTCACGGTGCGCGGTGTGAACGGGATGCACACGTGCCTGGTCTTCGAGGCGCTTGGCTGCAGCCTCTATAAGCTGATCGTGAAGAATAATTACCAGGGCCTGGCCATCGCCCAGGTGCGCAACATAATCCGCCAGGTGCTGGAGGGACTGGACTACCTGCACAGCAAGTGCAGCATCATTCACACGGACATCAAGCCGGAGAACATCCTGCTGGTGATCGACAATGCCGCCGCGATGAACCAGCAGATTGACGACGAGATCAACAGTCTGCGGGTAAAGGGGGCCGATTTCCCCGACTCTTACAGTAAGTATGCTTTATATTAAATTGACCACCGGCTAAGTTTCTTAAACGTGTGCACCCCCAGTCAGCTCTATCGAGAAGCAGATAAAGTCGCGGGCCAAGTGGCCCCTCATCGAGCCAAATGGGTCGGCCAACACCAATACGAACACCAGCAACAGCACGGCGAACAACTCCAATTCGTCGACGCCGCTGGCCGCTGTGATCATGTCCTCGCTGGACAAAGAAGACACCACCACCACCTCGTCCACGCTCAACTCCAACACCACCTCCTCGCTGGCCTCCAAGTACTCCAGTCTGTTGGGGGACAGCGAGTGTAACGGAGGCCTCGGCGGATCAGCGAACCTGAACAACCGCTACCGAGCCGAGAAGAAAATCACTGCCAAGGTGAGTTCGCTTCCATACCAGGTCCACAGGTCCTCAGTCGCCCCTGCCCCACACTTGAAAGCTTTGGCCGGGATTGCTCGTCGTGGTGTGCATGGAAAGTATTTGCACTCTTCATACTGTGAACCCACCCGCAACACCACAAACTGCACCCAAAAGAAACACAAAATTTTTATTCTTTTTGTTTTCATTTATTTTCGCGTTTTTTGGTTTGACACTCGACACAGTCTTCTGGGGATTGTGAGGAAGATCCCGAGTCCGACACGCTGGGCGAGCAGAGCATGGCCACCGATACGCCCACCGATCCCGATCCCGAGCTCGAGCAAGAGACAGAACCCGAGGCCAGTCCCAGCGAGGTCGAGGTCCCTGAGGTAATGTGGATTTGGATCTAGCGGTAGCCCGGTCCCTAGAGCCCTTCCAGAATGAGTTCGCTTTTCGATTTTGCTTTACATGTTTTGTTATGAGGTTACTTCTTACTTACTGATTCTGATTATCGCTCCTTAGTTCACATTTCCTGCCTCACTCCCACAATAATACCACACGCTTAACCTAGTGAATTAAATCCTGGAACGAAAAGTCAAATGCTTGATTGATTGTTGGCATTGCCAGCTTTAGATGTTTGCAACGGGCTCTATTTTAATGCTTTATGTTTCTATTGCTACCTGCTAAATGTATACCTTCTTGTTGTGAATATACAGTTGCGGTCAAAGAACTCGAATAAGTACTAGAACATGCCGTAAATATTTCGTTTACTTTTTAGGCAATTTTTACAAAATTTGTACAGAACAAAATTGAATTTAATATTATTGTTTCTTTTCAAGTTATCTCTTGATTATTTATTAATTTGAATTTAACTGTTTTTGGATTGTAATTAATCAAATAACAACTAAAAATAATTGATTCCTCATAAAAAATAATATTTTACATTAATATGACAAGTTGTTTATGTATTTTATAACTTTTGGGCTTATTTAATTTAAATAATCAAGTACAATCAATTAATCAATCTCAGCTTTTTGACCACAGCTGCAGTTATGAGCATTTTTGCATTTTAAGATTAAATGCAACTAATACTAATTTTATAACTTTTAGGCTTATTTAATTTAAATAATCAAGTACAATCAATATCTCAGCTTTTTGACCACAGCTGCAGTTATGAGTGTCAAGTCTAAGCTGTTTATAATATAACCGATGTTGTAATTAAATATATATATATTAAATATGTGTTGATTCCCAAATGGAATGTCGAGCTGGGTATTCCATAGGGATACTAATCAGTGGTAATCACCGTTGGGATTTTGACAGAAAATCCCAGCTTTGACCCCCACGCTGTATGTGTTTTGTTATACGCACCAACTAGAGAAACCTACAAATAAGCAAACCAACATTGTGTATTCTTTTCTTCCTTTCTTTGTGTGAACCAATTTATATGCAACATTTCGCTATATACACACGATACAGCTGCCCACCCCGAACTCCACCAATAACTCCTGTCCCTCCCACAACACCAATACGATAGCCAAGTCCAAGATCAACTCGAGCACGTGCACGTCCTTGCCCAACGAATACAGCCTCGCCAACACGAACACCAATAGCGATACAATATCCACTTCCGCCCCTCCAAGTGCCACACCCACACCCTCCACCGCCTCTGCCACGCCACCCAGCACGTGCACCCCCTCGTTCACGCATATAGCGCCTACAACAGCTCCAACTACCAGTACAACCTGTACAACAACAGCCGCAAGCACTGAGCTCTATAATGGCGATCATACAACAACAAGCACATCAAGAACAACAACCAACGCGATATCCTCCGCGACAACAACGACAACGACAACAACCATCGCTAAACTAAATGTCAATGCCAATGCCATTCCTTCGCAGAACCAGAGTCAGAGTAGCCAGAACAACACCTATACGATCCAGTCGCTCATCAACAACAGCAACGTCCGTGTGAAGATCGCCGATCTGGGCAACGCCTGCTACGACGTGAGTCTCCTTATTCTAAAGAACTCCAGTAATTCCTATGAGTCCCTCACGAGTATAGCCCAATAAAACCATTTTACTAATTTCAAATAATAGCTTTTTCACTTAGAGAAATATCGAAGTTCATAAGGATAGACATATCGCCCTAATCAAAAATATAAATACTTTATAGGTTCCCATTAAGTGTTTTTGGGTATCCGCATTAGCTTCAAATGTTTTATTTTCATCCTGGCATCCAAAATCGACCTTATTAATTGGTAAAAGTAAGGTTTTTCGATTTCACTTTATTCTGGAAAGCAATTTCGTTTAATTCCCAATTGTCTTTTACATCATTGATGTATAGTATGTCATTATTATGTATACTTTGGTGAGATAAAATAATCACATAAGAACAACGTTTTACTCGTGAGGACGTTAACTGCACCTGAAGAAATACGACATTATGACTTTCTCTTCATCTCCAGTATCATCACTTCACTGAGGACATTCAGACGCGCCAGTATCGATCGATCGAGGTGCTGCTGGGAGCGCCGTACAATTATACCGCCGACATTTGGAGCACCGCCTGCTTGGCCTTTGAGCTCGCCACGGGCGACTATTTGTTCGACCCCCACGCCGGCGAGTCGTACAGTCGTGACGAAGATCACTTGGCGCACATTGTCGAGCTGCTGGGCTCCATACCGCAGTCGGTGATCCTGCGGGGCAAGCATGGGCTGAAGTATTTCACCAGCTATGGTAGGTATTGATGTGATCCAACGGAAACACTGATGTCAGCCTCTCGGCGATCTTCAATTGCAGGCAGCCTGAGGAACATCACCAAGCTTAAGCCCTGGAGTCTAAAGAACGTGCTTGTGGAGAAGTACGACTGGGATCCGGTGGAGGCCAAGAAGTTCTCCGACTTTCTTCTGCCCATGCTCGAGTACAATCCAGTCATACGCGCTTCGGCAGCAGAGTGCCTGCAGCATCCGTGGCTGGAGCAGGAAGAGTTCGTCTAGACGGCTCAAGGAGTCGTGGGAAGCTAGAGAGACAACAGACACAGGCGCACTTAAATAATACATACATAACATACGTACTTCGAACTCGTATTGTATTTCTAGGCTTAACTTTTATATGCAAACCACTTTGTTATAAAGAGGAATATTATATGTACGTTAGCAAGGAAATCCGATGAAGGAAGGTTAGCAGTATAGGACTCGATACACACACCTTATACACATACGACATGTGAAGAGGACGTTCCGCATGGAATTTTTTAAGCTTTTTAATTTTTTGTACTTGAGAGCTTTAAAATGTAATTACTAAAGAAGCGATTTTATTTTTAACGATAAATGCAAACGCGAGAAGGTGCGCAAAATGTTTTTCAAGTTTTTATTTCGACAACGTGCATATAAGTATAAACATACATATATATTTTTTATTAAATGAGAAACAAGTGAAACAAAAACAAAAGACAATGACGACAATTTTGAAGTCAACAGATGCCTAAACTGACTGACCGAAAAGGAAAACATTTTCATGCGAAACCAAATAAAACATGCTAAATAAATTATACGAACTAGAAAAATATTCAGCATCACATAATTAACGATACCTTCTATAAAATTAATAATATAGTATGTGTATAATTAACGAAGCCCAATTGTAGATATCGAGAATGTTTAACAGAAATACAGATGAAAATTCAAATAATGACAGCTTTTTAGCAGCGTGTAGTGATTTTGGTACATTTAACCGAAACTTATTGTAGAACCTTAAGTCTATTTTGGAGATAAGCAGATTTCAGCGAAGTGTTCTCCTACCCAATTTCGGTTTAACACATTTATTATTTTATTAAATTTAAAAAAGTTGCCAGCATCCGAGAAAATTAACTTTTCCCAATTCACTGCAATTAGCAATAAATCAATAACTCATTGAATAAAAGTCTTTGTATCGGAATTGAAAACTCAAAATCGAAATTTTAATACTACCAATGATAATTATTGAGAAATCGCATTACCAATAACGAAAACATATTTTACTACTTGCCTACAAGAACTTGTACACAAGCCTACAAAGTAATATTGATCGTGACCAAATAATTTAATATTGTGGAAGATTTTTCCCCCAAAAAAACACATATTTAATATACACACACATGTGCGCATGTGTAGAAATAAATAAATAACAGAAATTTAAGCGGAGAAGCTGCACGGTCGAGAGAGTGGGCACATATTTCAATAAGCTGAAATAAAGAATATACATACCGATCAAGAGATAAAATATAAAACTAGCACTGTGTCCTCATTTTGGTTTACATAAGCACTTTATTCGAAATTGTACGAGTATAAAAATGCAGTGTCTAGAATACATTAGGGTATGTTTAACAATTTTAAAGTATGTTAGATTAGCATAATGATCGATAGTCGACCGGCGGATAAACTATATAAGCATTAGTCGGAATAAACAGGGGCCCAGACCATTATTAAAGTGCCAGCCCCAAAATCTGTTCCTGCTTGTAAACGCCATGGTAAGCGTTGCGTATGAGTACGTAGGGAAAGCATGACTCCAACAGATCCATCGTTAGGAAGGGTGATTGCTTGACGATCTCGTCCAGCAGCAAATAAATAGATTCTCGGTTGCGAGTCGCCTCCTTGTCGGACTCCTGGCCCAAACGGAGAAGGGAAGAACTGGCCAGAGCAAGGAACTCCTTCATGCGGTCTTCCATGTCGCTCTGCCCGCAGATGGTGAACAACGCTCCGAAGATATTATTAATGGCCGCCGCCATGCAGTGTGTGTTGTTGGAGTGCCCGTCGATAGTGGCCCTGTAGAACGAGTTTTCGTTCCGGGCTAGTTTTGGAATAGAGACGGCCACGAAGACCATCAGCAGACAGGCCGTAAGGTGCTCACCTTCATCGAACTCTGGCTTCTTCGACTTCAGCGTACTGGCCAAAGTGGGATCCACCTTGCAGAGTAGGCCAGCTGCCGAGGCCATCTCGGAGGCAACGCGAATCTGGTCTCCTCCGGGCAGATGCTCCTGGAAGTCCTTCACAGAGCTAAGCAGAAAGGGTATGCGCTTGTCCAGCACATCAACGAGAGCCTCGTGCACCAGATTGCGGAAGCAGATGATCACCCCAATGATCGTCATGCGCTGCAGCACGCGGTCCACGTCCTGCAGCCGCTTAAATTGCTCCTTCATCACCTCAGGTTTGTCAAAGCTGGTACGCAGTGTAATAAGCACCTCCTTGTTGGTGCCTACCAGCGACTTTAGTTCCTGCACCTGGTTGGCTATGTGCCACATAAGTGTTTCATTCAGTGTTTTGATCCCGTAGGGTCCCACGAGTTCTGCAAGTGCGCGCAGCTCGTTTAGATCAGAGAATTCCTGCGGGTTAAACGGAACCCAGCCTTCGGGAGAAATGGGTACAAATGCCTTTTGGTTGATGGAAAACACTATGTTGCCAGCGGATACTCGCCTTAGCAGGACCTCACTGTACCAAGTATTGTACAAAGCGGCGATAGTCTTCTCGCCATGAGAGTCCAGGGCCTGTGTCTGCTGTAACAAACAGTTGTTAAATACACGTGTTATGTCTATGTGCACGTAGTTCTCCACGGTCTGCAGCACATTCATGTAGGCTCGAACGCTGGCCAGCAGCTCCGAGGGCTTGGCGATCTCCATTGTCTCCTGGTTAAACATTACCATGCCCACAAGATCCCGGGAGAAGCGGTGCTCTAGGTTTTGACAGAGATATTCGCGAGGCGCGAATGCAAATTCCCAAACGTTAACAGTGGGGCAATAGTTGATGGCAAAACAGAGCTCCGTCAAGGCCATGTGCAACTTGTCCATCGTCGTCAGATCCTCGCGGGTCTTTCGGTATGATTCGTCGCCAGGCTTTCGTATGTCGTCGAAATGCTTCGACTTGGATTTGTCCTTCTTCTTGCGGGCCGACTGGACGGACAAGATCTTTGCACAGTGCTTCGGCAAAAGAGCGTCTGCCATGGTACACTGCTCGTCGCAAATGGTGGTTATGATGTTTTTAGCTTCTTTAGCCATTTCTTCAAGGAAGATGTTTACCACGCTAAGTGACCTCTCTCTGATGTGGTGGCGTTCCTCCGGGCACATTTCGTGCGTGCAGTTTTGGAAGTGACTGCAGATCAATGGAAAGGCTATGATATAGCGGTTCTGGGCAGGAAATTCCAAGCACATGTGAAACTGATCGTCAAACATTTTGTTATAGAAGCAGAATATACTCAGATCCGAAGTCTCCACCAGTATCTCGTCCAAATTATCAACTACTCGAGTGTGAAACACCATTGAATCCAAAAGACGGGCCAATTCTGCATGCTCTGTGATTCTGAGGGCAGCCTTGCCAACGCTCATATACGTCTGGAGGCGGAACCAGTCAAGGCGGAATGGTCGGAAGTAAAACAATTCGTTGTCCTCCACCTGCTTTACAGTCAAGCCTGCAGCCGTGTTGTAGAGCGAGCTAAAGATTATGCTCTCGTCTTCCGGACACATTTGCAGGCTCTGCATCCGAATATTGAGATCCGTGGCATCAAATCCAGACAAGTATTGCACGTAGTACCGCTGCATAACCTGGCTGTATTTACGCACTAGAGCGCGCAGTTCCTCCATGTGAAAGAGCAGCTCAGGCAGCTGACGGTCCACCAGATCCTCATTGCTTTTTCCTTTAAAACAAATGCGGTCAGAACAGCATTAATAACTCAGATAGTATACTAACCTTTATTCTTGAGCAGTGGCGGATTGTCGTTGTGTCTGAGGAGCCAAAGGATCTCGTCGCGCGCTAGGCAAAGACCGATAAAAATGAATATTGCTTTAGGTCCCAGCAGGCCGGGCTGGTCCGTCATTATTAGGGCCAACTCCTTCAACGCTGTTCGCAAGAACTTCCGTCGCTCCCGATGCATTAAAGCGGCTTTTTGGACAGCAGTGTTGTAGGTTTCCTTGACTTCACCTATCCGCTTGCTGTAGCCCTTAATCCCGTCAAAGGTGGCCTGGATGTACTGGTGAATTTGTAAGACCTCGTCGCGGAAAAGTGCCACAACCCAGCTGGATTCTAAAGCAGACAGCCAGATCTTGTTGACCTCCGGGTACTGGCCGAGCATTTGGTGGTTAAGCAACAGGCCAAAGATTATCCAGCGGTCCATTGACTCCAGGGAAATATACTCGCAGGACATGGTGTCCGTACGCACTGCCTTAAGAAGGATGGCCGGATTTCCCACAAGACTCAGCTTCTGCATCTCCCTCCACTTATCAGCGGGTAGATTTCGCAGGGCGTAGATGGATGTAAGCGAGCGCAGGGCACTCGTCAGGAGTCGCTGGTGGGGGATAAACTCCTCGGCCAGCTTTTTTAGGGGAACCTCGTAGTCAAGGATCATCTGTCCGAGGCGTGGAAAGCCCGTGTCAGCCTGGTTGTTCTGCAGCTCGTAGGCGGCATTGTACAGACCTAGCACTGCCTTGCGATCCTCCACCCTGGACAGAACGATCATCAGGGACACGTAGGTTACCACCAAGTCCAGGTAGTACTTGGTCAGCTCGAAGTTCAGCGTGATGTCAAGGTGGATCTGACAGGCGTCCATCGTGGTGAGCAGCTCGCAGACATTGTCCTTGAAGTCCAGCAGGTCGACGAATGTGTGATAGTACAGGGACAGCGACTTTATGATCTCCGCCTTGATGTTCACAATAGCATTAAGGCCCTTGACGTCGATGTTGGGGAATCTCTTTACAATGAATTTGATGCTCGACTCCAAGGACTTCTCAGAGAGGAATCCCGGTTTCGATTTGGTGTCGCCGCAGGCCTTCTTAATGTTGTATATTCGCGTCAGAATACCGAGGCCGCGGTCATTTAAGATGATTAGTTTCTCAGCTATCTTTTGCTGATTTGGAAAAATTGGGCGTGCCATGTCCGCTGACTGTTGACAACGACGAGTGGCTGAAAGCTGGTTTCCGGTGAAGCCCAGAACACAAATGTGCGCTGGCGAACTTTATTGGCAAGCGATTAGCCCTAATCCGTCCCGTTACTTATGCTTTTCCGATTGTTAAATTGGCCAAAAAGAGCGACACAAAAGTGTACACATTACTCTTCTTCTTGATTTCGGGATAGTGATGAACAAAGTACTGCTGGTGGCGATATGTCACTATCGATAAGAAATAGCTAGCAGCTTGGCTTGTCAATAAAATTAAATACATTTAAAAATATTGAATATTTGTCATCTGTTTGCCAGCTAATTTATTATCATCTCGTTTTCAAAAAGTCAAAGTATTCAAAATCTATACAATTCTAGACATTTTTTTTGGTGACAGTTTTGTATATTTCAAAGTGAAATTTTTTTATCTGAACAATTAGCCAATTGGGATATTTACATTTTCAGGTTTTACTCAAAAGGGATAATTATTACTGTTAAACTCCGTTAAAAAAACCTAGTGGAAAAATAGGGTAATACAGCCATTTTTTAATTTTCATGCCAATATCTCAAAAATTAAAAACTAATTAGAATGTTCTTTAAATATCCTTCTTTTATATACATTTACTTTTTATTGTCCTCTGGTCTAGGTATTTATGCGGTATTTTATGATAAAAAAAGTAATAAGAATTAAAACAATAGCTGAATAGTTGAATTTGGCTAAGCTGTTGCCAGATGTTTCATACAAATTTAACTACCAAAAATTCAGAGCGTATATTTTAAATGGTTCATAGCTAACTAATAGTTTTTAAAAGTATCTAACAATAAAAATAGAATTCAAAATTGATTAATAATAATTCCGTTACGCAGGTGAGTTGTTAAGAATTCAATACACACATTTTTGGTTCTTTTCCTCCAATGTAAAAAATTTTTGTTTCATTTTCAATTATTTAGCAACTAAGAAGAAGAATTTGTTTTTTCCAGTGTGCCTTACCGGTCATCGGTGATTAGTATCGATATCAGCAGCCGATGAACAACGGAGCGATTTCAGAACCAGTAGTTCGTTACAAAAGTGCACGTTGTTTGCCACGCAAAATCGCCGCAAATTGGTTTGATTTCTGATAAAAAAGGTTGGAATAAGCAAATTGACTTCATAAATAATTCACCATACTTTTTGGCAGCCATGGGAAAGAAACTGGAGCGCAGCGACGTTTGCCGAGTGCCGGAGAACATTAACTTCCCGGCCGAGGAGGAGAACGTACTGCAGCAGTGGCGTGACGAAAATATCTTCGAAAAGTGCAGCCAACTGTCGAAGGGAAAGCCCAAGTAAGTGCCGCAGTCGATTGCATCAGCCAATTGCTAACTTATAATGTGTCGCCCAGGTACACTTTCTACGATGGACCGCCATTCGCTACCGGGCTGCCCCACTACGGACACATCCTCGCCGGCACCATCAAGGACATCGTTACCCGGTACGCCTACCAGCAGGGATACCATGTGGACCGCCGCTTCGGGTGGGATTGCCATGGGCTGCCTGTAGAGTTCGAGATCGACAAGCTCCTGAATATCCGGGGTCCCGAGGACGTGGCCAAGATGGGCATCGCTGCCTACAACGCTGAGTGCCGGAAGATCGTCATGCGGTATGCCGACGAGTGGGAGAACGTGGTGACGCGAGTAGGTCGCTGGATCGATTTCAAAAACGACTACAAGACGTTGTACCCCTGGTACATGGAGTCCATTTGGTGGATCTTCAAACAACTGTTCGACAAGGGTCTGGTCTACCAGGGCGTAAAGGTTATGCCCTATTCCACTGCCTGCACAACATCGCTGTCTAACTTCGAGGCGAATCAAAACTATAAGGAGGTGGTTGATCCTTGTGTGGTGGTCGCCCTGGAGGCCATTTCGCTGCCAAATACCTTCTTCTTAGTCTGGACCACCACGCCTTGGACACTGCCCTCCAACTTTGCATGCTGTGTACATCCGACCATGACATATGTTAAGGTGCGTGACGTGAAGAGCGACCGACTCTTCGTTCTCGCTGAGTCGCGCCTCTCGTACGTGTTTAAATCTGAGGCAGAATACGAGGTGAAGGACAAGTTTGAAGGAAAAACTCTCAAGGATCTGCATTACAAGCCGCTGTTCCCGTACTTCGCAAAACGCGGGGACCAGGTAAAAGCTTTCCGCGTCCTGACAGACGAGTACGTCACCGAGGACTCTGGTACGGGTATCGTGCACAATGCTCCTTACTTTGGAGAGGACGATTATCGCGTATGCCTGGCAGCGGGACTGATTACAAAGTCCAGCGAGGTTCTCTGTCCAGTTGACGAAACGGGACGGTTTACCAAGGAGGCTAGCGACTTCGAGGGCCAATACGTCAAGGATGCCGACAAGCTAATCATAGCTGCGTTGAAGGCACGGGGCAACTTGGTATCTAATGGCCAAGTGAAGCATAGCTACCCCTTCTGCTGGCGGTCAGACACACCGCTTATTTATAAGGCCGTTCCTTCCTGGTTTGTGCGTGTTGAGCACATGTCGAAAAATCTGCTGGATTGCAGTTCGCAGACGTACTGGGTGCCAGACTTTGTCAAGGAAAAACGATTTGGCAATTGGCTAAAAGA